TCCCCTCATGCAGACCAGGGCCTAGTGACAAAGATTCAAAATGAGGGACACAAAGTAATGAAACATATAAGAAATCTGAAATGCGGTGGGAATCCTTTTTAGTGTAAACAACTTTTTCTGACACCTCAGTTTCATGATTCTTTATTTCTGATGTCAAATAATTTTCAAAAATACAAGTGAGCGGACTCCACATTTGTTAGGCACATAGGTAACTTTGGGATTAACGTGCTGGCCCTGTGCAACATTTTGCTAGGCCCAGGGCAAACTCATAGCATAGGCCCCATCTCACCCCACTGTGACATATTAATTAATAAAAGAAAAACATATTTTATTTCTGAAATGGCATAGATAAGTTTTATCAGTTTACAACTTTATTTTCCTCACCTTTTCCATTAGAAAATCATGAATGACATCACTAAATTAAATCTTCTTTGCAAGTTCGCAGCCCTTGGAGAGCAAGATGACTTTTGTCTGCACATTTTAATGAGTGCCAGCTTCTGCTACAGTCATGAGCGAAATGGAAAAAATGTGTAGTTCTGTGCATGCATCATTGAAAATAGTTATAGCTTTTGTTGAAAATCTCTACTAAAATTATTTAGGACTGACTGGAACATAAAACATATGTCACTGATTGCTTTGAATCAAAACTCCAAATCTCAGATAATATTGTCCAAATTTTCATAGAATACATTCTTTCTGAATGAAGACTCTAGTTCACCTTCACAGGGGACAAAACATGATTCCTCAGGACATCATTAAATCTTTTCCACTTCTTACTTCACTTCTGTAATAGCTGTAGCAAAATTCCCATACCTACCACTATGTGTACTTCCAATAGAACTTTGAATCACTGATCGTGCTGTTCCTTTAATTCTTCCATAATAAAAGCAAAGAGATTTGCCTCTGAATCAAGAGAGTTCCCTCTGGCTTGTAAAATCTTACTTCTCTCATCAGAACTTTATACCAAAAGCTAGCCAACAAAAGGCATGAAAATGAGCTGAAGCACTGTTTTGGTGCTTCCTCTTTTGATTGTCCTTTTAATTCAAGACAGCAATGCTTCCTGGAATACCTGGACAGCACATCAGCACATGCCCTTCAGCGTGTGTCTGAATGAGAATGGAGTGAAGAGTTTATCTTACTTGTTATAATCTTCCACCTCATAGGACTAGCATTGAAAAACATGAAAAATTGCTGCATGAGACCAAAATATGTTACTGTTTCAGTACATGCAGCTCAGTTCCAGTATTACCTTCTATGAAATTAAGTGAATTGGAAGCACAAGGAGAATTTACAGCAAATTTATTTTTGGACATAATTTATACCTAAACACCTTTTAATTTTCCTGACATATATTAGACCCATTATCAAATCCTTTACTTCTAGTCGTCAAGTAGAATTTTATGATGCTTCACACTGGCAATTAGCATTTCACCTATTGTTCTCCACTTTTTTGATCAAAGTTGATGAACTCGAGGAATCTTTCTTGAATGTTAAATGCATCACTATCTTGGTCCTGAACTACAACACACTTTGTTCATGATGACACTACTCAGGGGTAGCATCACATATGACAAAATAATAGATGACTTTTTCTCTCTCTGTGACAGAACTGCCTTCTGTATGCTTTTGCTACATAATTCAATAAGCTCCTTCTAACTTCCATGAGAGGTAATGTGCCGATCCTTGCATTATTCTACCCTCTATCTGCTTCTGTTTGACTTTAACCAAATGGTCACAAATTATGCTGTCATAATGAATTTCAAATTCAAAAGTTGCAAAAAAGTTGCTGTTGTATGGATCACCAATATCTTCTTGGAAGTAAGGTAACATTCAATATTTTTCCAATATTGCTCTCCATCTTGCAGATTCCATTAATATTTGTTTCTGAATCTCACTGTTCAATCCCCATCCACCTGACGGGGATTCCTCTAACTCCTTCGACTAGCAGTAGCAGTTTTATGTTCTACGCTGTTATCATATTCAGGAAGTTTATTATATAGTTTGCACCATTTTCCACAGTGGGTTTATCCTTAGCTTTTTGCCAATGTACTGCATTGTTTTTCTTTGTCTTTCCCTCAGAAAATAGTTGACACAGAAAGAAGTATGGTGCTTTGTTTGTAACACTACAAACAAGCCAATCTCTTGGGCTGTGTCTAGACTACATGCCTCTGTCGGCAGAGGCACGTAGATTAGACACGTAGGCAAAGGCAAATGAAGCCGCGATTTAAATAATCGCAGCTTCATTTACATTTACATGGCTGCCGCGCTGAGCCGACAAACAGCTGATCAGCTGTTTGTCGGCTCGCCGCGCCAGCCATGTAAATGTAAATGAAGCCGCGATTTAAATAATCGCAGCTTCATTTACATTTACATGGCTGCCGCGCTGAGCCGACAAACAGCTGATCAGCTGTTTGTCGGCTCGCCGCGCCAGCCATGTAAATGTAAATGAAGCCGCGATTTAAATAATCGCAGCTTCATTTACATTTACATGGCTGCCGCGCTGAGCCGACAAACAGCTGATCAGCTGTTTGTCGGCTCGCCGCGCCAGCCATGTAAATGTAAATGAAGCTGCGATTATTTAAATCGCGGCTTCATTTGCCTTTGCCACAACAACAAATCTACATGGCTCCGTCGACGGAGCAATGTAGTCTAAACGTACCCTTGGAGTCCTTTCTTTTGTGCTGGATGTCTGACATTTGAGAAGAAATTCAGGAAAACTATGTCCATCAACATCTTTTGTCATTGACTCCCCTAACTTCCACATTTCAGACCAGTGAGGCTATGTCTATACCACACTGTAAAATCGAAAAAAGGTACACAATTTGCGGTACACAAATTGCATATATTTTTTCGATTTAATTTAGAAAGAGGCTATTTCGAAATTTGGCGCATCTACACAGCGCCAAATTTGGAAATAAAGTGCTCTTTTGAGCCATCCCTTATTCCTTGTAGAACAAGGTTTACAAGGATGGTGAAAGAGTGCGTCCACTATTTCGAAATTTTTTCCAAAATAGCGGACACGTTCCTTGGACGCGGAGTTGTTATTTTGGGATACTTCCAATATCCCAACATAGCAATGCAGTCTAGACATAGCCATAGAGGGTTGTTTTTTTTTTATTACAGAAGCTGTTATGTGTTTAGGCCACAATCCTGAATATTTAAAAAAGCATGAATCAGTAAGCCATGTAGTACAACTCTCCTGCTTTTTGCTACTCTTCTTCTGAGTCTGGTGGCAGGTGATGGTATTACTGGAGGATTCACTGGCATCCTTTTGCTTCTTATTCTCATTTCTTTAACTTCCTGATGTTTCTGGGCGCCAGATTTGAATTTATAGCCAGACATTGGAATAAGCTGCATGTAACTCCTCATCTTCTCCGTGGGTTACTTTGGAGCAGGCAGCACTCTCCTGTGTACCAGGGCACCTGATGTTGTTGATATTAAAGGAGACCCTTAATATCCCAGTGGTGATTTTAGATAGGTGAGAATCCTCAGTTCACTCCTCCACTGCATAAGAACATAAGAACGGCCATACTGAGTCAGACCAAAGGTCCATCTAGCCCAGTATCCTGTCTGCCAACAGTAGCCAGTACCAGATGCCCCAGAGAGAGGGATCACAAAAGGTAATCCTCACGTGATCCCTCCCCTGTCACCCATCTCCAGAGAAACAGAGGCTAGGGACACCATTTCTACCCCTCCTGGTTACCCACTGAAGTCCTTTACTTCTAAAGGAATTCAAAATTGGTCATGCCTCCACCTGGCTGGCCCCTGTATACATTTAATGGTGTGCCTTGGAAACCTCCAGGAATAAACCCATTCTAATAATACTAAAAATAATTTGTGACATGGAGTTAACTCAGATATACCAATCTACTATATATTTGAGTGTGTTTGTGAGTGAGCGAGTCTGTCCAAATTTGTTCAAGAACTCCTCCTAAACGGTAAGAGCTAGGACCACCAAATTTGGAGTGCAGCTTCCTCTTATCATATCTTTAAGCAAAATAAAGGTTTGGTTGTGCAGGATGGGGACCGAAGCTTCCTCCTGCCCCAATTTGCTTAAAAAGAATTCCTCCTAAACAGTAAGAGCTAGCTTGCCCCTCTTCATGTATACAAGGATGGATGAAACCATACCGGAAAGAGAAAGAATAACCAGGTAGGTGAAAGGGGCTGGCTGGCACACACCCCCAAATCTGGGAATGCCCCCGTCCTTATTCTCCGATTCTCCAGGTACCCTTTAGGAAAAGCAGGAGGGGCTGCAGCTTCTCCCCCTCCATTTGTACAAGAGTATTGCTGGCTATTCCCCTTCATCAGGGAGTGAGGGAAAAGTGAACAGTTTGCTCCATTCCTCCATTCTGTCTAGGCTTGCCCTCGCTGGGGGACATGTATCCCTCCCCTAGCTGTGCCGGCTGGAGCTGCAGTGGCCATGAAAAGGCACTTCTCACATGCCCCAAACTGCTGTGGTGAGAAAGGGCTAGGGTAGCAATGCTGGGTAAATCTTGTAGTTATAAATAATACACATCTAATGTATTTAAATTAGACTTAATACTCTTTTACTTAACAATTTAAAGAAACAGGGTTTAACAGGCTAACATTATACATCTCTCCTAATTTAAATCCACTGTGTGCAGCTGAATAAAATCAATTAACAAATCTAAGGATTCAGTAATAAATTAAACTTATCTAACTGGCATTTACACTGCCACCACTTATCCCACCCTTGAGTATACACTCCTCTGGATTGCAGAGTCCCAGATTCTTGTACCGGCATGCTTGAAGATCTGCACCTGGAGGCAGCACTGTGCAGGTTTTGTTTATCAGCCCAGCCAAGGCAACAAGCTGTACAACCTCTCTGAAGACTAGAGCTGGCTCCACCAAATGCCATCAGCTCTGAGTCCTAGTTCACTGGGAAGATCGTTCTGCCTCTCCTCGGAATAAGAATCAGTCTCTCTGCTGTGCCCCTTCGCTTGCCCGCACTTTCCCAAACAACAGTGAGGGTTACTCACAGTTCCTTCCCTGTAGGCCCTTCTCAGTCGGCTCCAAGCACAGCAACCATCTTCTTCAGGGACAACTAACAGCCTCTGAAGCACCCTACGCGATCAAAGCACAGCAGGCTCTCCTGTTTAGCAGCAGCTCCTGGTCTGGACAGAACTCCACACCAGCAATCTGGCTCCCCTCTCCAAACCACCTGCTCTCTCTGCACTGCCTGGAAGAGCAGTGTCCCGCCTTTTCGCAAGGCACTATGGGAGTTGTAGTTTCTAAGGCTAGATTGCAGCACACAGGATCTTCCCAATGAATTTTAGAGGTTCCCAGCAGGGCCAACAGTCACTGTGGGCGGGGCAGCTCCACATCCCCAGAAGGGGTGGGGCCTTAGGTGGAAGGGGCAGGACAGGAGCAGCCAGCCATCAGTGCCACCCAGAGCGCAGCGCCCCCCCCCACCCAGCCCTGAGAGCAGGGCTACTCAACTTTGGAAGCCCCGGGGGCCACAATGATATCTACAGCACATGCCGCGGGCCGCAGCTTAAGTATGGTTGCATATATGTGCAAATATATGTGCAAATATTTATGCAAATCACTTCCTTCACACTGATGGGCATGAATACAAAGATTAAGGCAAGACTACACAACACACAGGCCCCATTTAAGTCAGTTCTGTTGATATTAATAATATGTAATATTTGCCCGATTTCCACTCATATGACAGCACTTTTAATGAGCAATAACAGTCAGGAATTTAACTACTAAAACACATATCAACAGAAGACCATTATCTTGACTACTTTTTCGTTTTGGCTTCACAAATTTAACAAATCAAACAGAAACTGCCAATACAATATTTACTGAAATATACGTACAATTAATCTGAAGTTCAAGGCACCGAGGGGAGAAGTGGCATGGCTAGAAAAGGAATCCAGGAATCCTGCTTCTGAGAATCCCTTCCTTTCCCCAGCCTACCCCACCAAGCACCCCTCTTGGCATCCTGGAGAACACAAGATCTTGCAAGATAACATACCCAGCCCACACACATTGACAAGGAGGAGAGGTAAATGGGGCAGTTGCCCCAGGGCCTGGTGATTCAAAGGGGCCCATGGCTCCAGGCTGCCACCACTGTTATTGAGGCAATGGCAGTGGCTGGAGCCCTGGGCCTTGTAAATTGCCACTGGAGTCCTGTGCCACACACTCTGGGCAGTGCTGAAGGCTGGGAGTGGGGCACTGTCCTCTGGGCAGCACTGAGGGCTTCCAGAGAGCTGACGCTGGTGCTCAGGGATGGCTGCTCTAGGTCCTGCTTCCTCCGCCTGAAGCTCTGTCCCTTCCGATAGTGTGAAGCTGTCCTCCCCGCCCACACACACACACCTCACCCAGGGACCGATAGAGGTTGTTGGCATCCCTGAGTACACCACGCAGATTGATGGGTATAAATATGTTCACTGAGATGGTATAAAATAACTCTTGGTCAAACTCAAAGTCCAAAATTTAGACTGACTTCTTAATCCCCTGGTGACGGGATTATCACCTTCTTGCTGGGCCTGTTGGACTGGATCCTAGTAAATTGTACCATATTTCACCTTGACTTGAGGCCTTCTAACATAAGTGGCATCCCTTGAAATGAGGGGCAGTTGAGCAGCAGTCCTCCAACTCCGGGGCAGATGACCATTTTGCAGGGCCCTGGGTAGCACAATTTCGCGGAGCCCCCCTTTGCCACGGCGCATGCATGGTGGCACATGGCGCATGCGTGGGGCTTCTTGAAGCGCGGGGCCCAGGGCGGCCGCCCCACTCGCCCTGCCCTATATCCGCCCCTGCTCCAACTTATCAATGAGGAGAAAAGATGAAAGGGAAGAAGGGGGAGAGGGGAAGAACAAAGATATGTAGGAAAAAATACATTGATTGAGAGGAGAGAGACTAAGTAAAAAGATGGCCTGACTATTGTACCCTCTCTCAATAAATAACCATTGGGTATAGATGGTGAGTGCTAAATTCTACCAAATGGCCTTCGCTACATGACGTAGATGAGTTACAAAACATTATATCTCTGCCGCATAGGTAGCATCGGCATCCATAGGCAACTGAGATTCAGCTGGTCCAAACGCTTTTAACAAAGTCAATGATTTTCCTTATCCAGCCAAGCCTTCATTTATTAATTTAACATTTTGGTCATAAGTAAGGCCTTGTTAAAATAACTGTCAAAGACAAGCCCACCTCTAGTGCCATCTCCAGGTCAACTGTTCCTGTATGACATGACATATTCTCTGGAGAGAGTAAACTGTCCATGAATAATTTTACATTGGAAATTAAAAGAAGGTTTTTAACCATCAGAAGCATGGATAGTGGTGGGAGGGGGACTAATTAGTATTAAGATAAAGTTAGATACATTTTTTAGTGGAATTGTTTGATGGAGTTGCTTTGGAGTCCTTTCTGGTTCCTGTCCTAAAATGTCATGCTTCAAGGCTTCAGCTAGTCACCTGAAGGGGTAAAGAAGGAATACATTTTCACCCAAAATATTCCGGGTGGGGTTTTTTATGGCCATGGCCATGGCCATGGATGGGATCAGCTGATACTCTGAGGTAGTACTGAGAATTCTCCTTCTCAGCTGCTGAGTTGATGAGTCTGGTTCACATGTACAGGGACAAACTAGTTCAAGGTCAGGAACAAATTTTCCTCAGATTATGTAGGCTGTAACCTTAGGGGGTTTTTTCACCTGCCATTGGAGGATGAAGTACAGTACAATAAAGGTCATTTGCTAGGATCTCAATCAATTCCATGCCATTATAGAGGCCTTGGGCACTAGTGGCACTTTGGCCCTAATGTCCTAAGGGCTATAATACTTTTGTCTGATTCTGTTTGTTGGGCTTGGTGTGGATGTGGTGAGATTCTCTCTAAGCTAGATGATCTGATGGTCCCTTCTGATCTTAACGTGTACGACTGTACAACTGTCAGGGAAAATTCAACTTTTCTTTATGCTGGAGTCTCAGAGAGGCAGGATTCCGTGGGTTTGAGAGTAGAGTTGAGTGAACAAAGCAGCAATGGGATATTATGAGATGTACATGTCATAAAATGGCTCTTTGTGAAGATTTAACCTGAGATCACCAATACCACAGACCCTATTGTTTGAGCTAAGAGAAGAGTTATTTTGTCTGTGAGATAGTACTATGGAACTGACGGAGCCAGCCGTGACTAGAGAGTGATGTGACCACATGCATCATCCTGTTTTACATGCCCTCCTGTGAGATACGTTTCTGATGAGCAGGGCTTGACAAACCCCGGCAAGAGCCACTTGCCAGCCCCGCACTGCGCAGGTGCCAGACCGGCACTGCGCATGCGCGAAGCACCAGTGAATGTGGCGCTCGGAGCGACCGGCTGAAATCTACTTGCCACGGGCAAGTAGATGCAGCGGTTTGTCGAGCCCTGCTGATGAGAATCTGAGATCCACAAAAACAAAAGTTCCATATGGAGAGCCATTTTGGAGGAAATTGTAAATTCATACACAATGGAGAACATCTTTGTTTCAGGATGCTCTTTAGCTTTTGATACTGAAATTCCAGGACTCAGTCCTCAGTGACAGCTATGGCGAGTGTCTAAATATGCAGCCATGAAGTGTTACAGAAGGTAATTTGATTAAAACATGAGACTGGAAGTCTATTTTTTAGAATTACTGAACATCAATGGGGTTATCAGGAAGGCGAAAGCACAATCAGAATTGCAACTGGCAAGGATGTGAAGGATAACAAGAAGGCTGTGTCTAGACTGGCAAGTTTTTCCGCAAAATCATCTGCTTTTGCGGAAAAACTTGCCAGCTGTCTACACTGGCCGCTTGAATTTCTGCAAAAGCACTGACGATCTCATGTAAGATTGTCAGTGCTTTTGCAGAAATATTGTGCTGCTCCCGTTCGGGCAAAAGTCTTTTTCCTAAAAACTTTTCCGCAAAAATGGCGATTGGGGCTTTTTTGCGGAAAAGCGCGTCTAGATTGGCCACGGACGCTTTTCCGCAAAAAGTGCTTTTGCGGAAAAGCATCCTGCCAATCTAGACATGCTTTTCCGAAAATGCTTTTAACGGAAAACTTTTCCGTTAAAAGCATTTCCGGAAAATCGTGCCAGTGTAGACGTAGCCAAAAGGTTTCTATAGGCATGGTAACAAGAAGAAGGTGATCAGAGGATGTGGGGTCCCTACTGGATGAAGGAGGTAACCTAGTGACAGATGATGTGGAGAAAGCTGAAGTACTCAATGCTTTCTTTGCCTCTATATTCACGGACAAGGTCGGCTCCCGGACTAATGCGCTAAGTGACACAAGATGGGATGAAGATGGACAGCCCTTGGTGGATAAAGAACAGGTTAGGAACTATTTAGAAAAGCTAAATGTACACAAATCCATGGGTCCGGACTTAATGCATCCGAGGGTAATGAGGGAGCCTTTGGCCATTATCTTTGAAAAGTCGTGGAGATCGGGAGAGATCCCGAATGATTGGAAAAAAGCAAATGTAGTGCCCATCTTCAAAAAAGGGAAGAAGGACGATCCAGGGAACTATAGGCCGGACAGTCTTACCTCGGTTCCTGGAAAAATCATGAAAGGGATCCTTAAAGAATCCATTTTGAGGCATTTGGAAGAGAGGAAAGTGATCAGGCATAGTCAGCATGGATTCACAAAGGGCAATTCATGTCTGACCAATCTGATTAACTTCTATGATAAGGTAACTGGCTCTGTGGATATGGGAAAGTCAGTGGGTGTGATATATCTTGACTTTAGCAAGGCTTTTGATACGGTCTCCCACAATATTCTTGCCAGCAAGCTAAGGGAATGTGGATTGGATAAATGACAGTAAGATGGATAAAAAGATGGCTAGAAGGCCAGGCCCAGCGGGTAGTGATCAACGGCTCGATGGCGGTCGGTTTCTAGCGGAGTGCCCCAAGGTTCAGTTCTAGGACCAGTTTTGTTCAATATCTTTATTAATGACCTGGATGAGGGGATGGATTGCACCCTCAGCAACTTTGAAGATGACATGAAGCTAGAGGGAGAGGTAGAGACGCTTGAGGGCAGAGATGGGGTCCAGAGTGACTTAGACAAATTGGAGGATCGGGCCACAAGAAATCTGATGAGGTTCAATTAGGACAAGTGCAGAGTCCTGCACTTGGGACGGAAGAATCCCAAGCATTGTTACAGGCTGGGGACCAACCAGCTAAGTAGTAGTTCTGCAGAAAAGGACCTGGGGGTTACAGT